TCGCTGACACCCAGAGTTACTCTCCCTTACCTCATCATACTTATATGGCTTACACCTCGGCGGATCTGCTCGCGCTGCGAGATGCCCCCCTCTTGCTGCGATGGCCTTCCACTTTATTGAAGGCCTACCTTAAGGACAGGCTTTGGAGCCCCAAGAGGTGGCATGTTTTAAAGCGGGGATTGAGGGGTTTTTTAATTATGGCTTTTAATAATTTTTTAAGGGAACTGGGAGGGCGACCAAGGGGGATGGGGGGAGGTAATCCACCAAGGTCGGGGCCGAGCCCGGCATGGGGTAATGGTTTGGAGGGTGCAGGACGAGAGATTGGGGAGAGGAAGGCAGGCTATCTTAATGAGGGATGTACCATCAGCACGGTGGATGGGAGGGGCAGATATGGCGGGAGCAGGGGACCATATCATGTGTCGGGGGTGCGCACTCGCTACTTGAGAGCAATTGCGTGCCCCGGTCCCCAAGGCTCCTCTCGGATACTAGGTGGCACAGTTACTCAGGACCTGGGCCTCCGGCTGATTCTGTGCAACGCCAGGTCCATGGTAAATAAGGCCCCCCTCATTTACGATCTTATTCAAGAGGAGGGAGCGGACCTGGCGGGTATTACGGAGACCTGGTTGGGCCCGGAGGGAGAGGTCCCTCTGGTTGAGATGTGCCCACCAGGCTTCAGAGCATTCCATCAGCCGAGGGCCCAGGGGAGGGGCGGGGGGGGTGGCGGTTATTATTAAAGAAGGTCTTGGTCCGAGGGAGACCACTGTGTCACAGATTGCCGGATGTGAGTCCCTCTTTGTGAGATGGGGTCATGGGGTTCAGATGGGCTTGCTGCTTACGTACCTGGCTCCCTGCCGCATGGCAACGGCTCTGCTCGAGCTACTCGACGTGATAGCCACAGTGGCAGTTGATACACCCAGGCTTATGGTCATGGGTGATTTCAACTTGCCGTCCGTTGGTGAAACGTCGGAGATGGCTCGGGAGTTCATGGCTTCCATGACGGAAATGGACCTGATCCAGTTAGTTCATGGCCCCACTCACAGGGGTGGGGGGACACACTCTGGGCTTGATTTTTGTCTCTGGCCAGTGGTTGAGTGGTCTTATTATAGGGGATATAGACATGAAACCCTTGTCATGGTCAGATCACTCACTCCTTCGTCTGGACCTTCGAACCACTACACCCCGCCGCAGGGAGGCGGAGCCAATTAGGTGGGTCTGCCCCAGGCGCCTGATGGATCCTGATAGGTTCCAGATGGAGCTTGGGCCATTTCCTGAAGATCTGGCACACGACTCGGCCGAGGACGTGGTGGCTGCCTGGGATCGGGCGGCTGGTGGGGCCTTGGATCGAGTCGTGCCTTTGCAGCCTCTGACCCGGTATCAATCCCTCGTGGCTCCTTGGTTCACCGAGGAGCTGAGGGGGATGAAACGCCAGAAAAGACGCCTAGAGAGCGGTTGGAGGGCCAGTCTCGCTGAATCTGACTGAACACTGGTAAGGTAGCATATTAACACCTACTTAGTGGCGATAAAAGCGGCAAAGTTTAATTACTTTTCCGCTCTTATTGCGTCATCAGAGAATCGTCCGGCCGCCCTGTTCAGGGTGACCCGCTCCCTGCTCCACCTGGGAGTGCGGGAGGACCCCCTGGAAGGCAGGGCCGAGGATTTCGGACAATATCTGTATGATAAAATCGCTCAGATCCAGGGGGATTTGGACTGACAGGGTAGATTCGGGCAGGGTGGTGAGGAATAGTCTTGAGAACGTTATCTGGGAAGAGTTTGACTCTGTGACCCCTGATGACGTGGACAGGATTCTGGGGAGACTTAGTGCGGCCACATGTTTACTGGATCCGTGTCCCTCCTGGTTAGAACTGGCTTCCCGGGCGGTTACACGAGGCTGGCTCCAGGGAATTATTAACGCTTCGTTGAGTGAGGGTTACTTCCCCACAGCCTTGAAAGAGGCGGTGGTGAGGCCTCTCCTCAAGAAGCCTTCCCTGGACCCGGCAGTATTAATCAACTATCGTCCTGTCTCCAACCTTCGCTTTGTGGCGAAGGTTGTTGAGAGTGTGGTTGCATGACAGTTTCCGCAGTACCTGGAGGAAACATCTTATCTAGATCCATTGCAGTCGGGTTTCAGGCCCGGGCACAGCACAGAAACGGCATTGGTCGCGTTGGTAGATGATCTCTGGAGGGCTCGGGACAGGGGTTGCTCCTCTGTTCTGGCCCTGTTAGACCTCTCAGTGGCTTTTGATACCATCGACCATGGTATCATGCTGCACTGGTTGGAAGAGTTGGGGATGGAGGGCACTGTGTTACGGTGGTTCTCCTCCTTTCTCTCAGACCGGTCGCAGTTCGTGTTGGCAGTGGGGCAGAGGTCAACCTCGAGGCCTCTTATATGTGGAGTGTCTCAGGGGTCAGTCCTCTCGCCCCTTCTGTTCAACATTGATGTGAAGCCGCTGGGCGAGATCATCCGTGGCTTTGGGGTGAAGTACCATCAGTACGCTGATGACACCCAGCTGTACATCTCCATCCCAGGCCACCCCAACAATGCCCTTGAAGTGATATCCCAGTGCCTAGAGGCTGTGCGGACCTGGATGGGGAGACACAGGCTCAAGCTCAACCCTTCCAAGACTGAGTGGCTGTGGTTCCCAGCATCTCGATATAGTCAGTTGACTCTATCACTGATTATTGGGGGCGAGTCTTTGGCTCCCTCGGAGAGGGCTCGCAATCTGGGAGTCCTCCTGGATACGCAGCTGTCCTTGGAGGAACATCTGACGGCTGTTGCCAGGGGGACTTTTGGTCAGGTTCACCTGATCTGCCAGTTGCGGCCCTTTCTTGATCGGGATTCCCTGTGCACAGTCACTCATGCCCTCGTCACCTCACCTGGACTACTGCAACGCTCTCTACATGGGGCTCCCCTTGAAGAGCACCCAGAGGCTCCAACTGGTCCAGAATACGGCCGCGCGGGTAGTCACGGGAGCCACATGGCGCTCCCATACAACACCTCTCCTACATGAGCTGCACTGGCTCCCAGTGGTCTTCCGGGTGCGCTTCAAGGTGTTGGTTATCACCTTTAAAGCGCTCCATGGCATAGGACCTAGTTATTTTCGAGACCGCCTGCTGCTACTGACAGCCTCCCATCAACCTATGCGCTCTCACAGAGAGGGCCTCCTCAGGGTGCCATCAGCCAAACAATGTAGGCTGGTGACCCCCAGGAGGAGGGCCTTCTCTGTGGGGCCACCTACCCTCTGGAATCAGCTGCCCCCAGAGATAAGGAGAATCCAAGACCTCGGTGCCTTCTGTCGTGCCCTTAAAACCTTTTTCCAGCAAGCCGGGCTGGCCTAACACTTTTTAAAATGTTTTTAATTGTTTGTTATTGTTTTTAATCATGGGGCCAAATTTATATATATCTTTTAAATTGTATTTTAATGTTTGTAGTTTATGCTTTTACTTGGCTGTTCACCTCCCTGAGTCCTCAGGGAGAAGGGCGGTATACAAATTTAAAAATAAAATAATAAAATAAAATAAACTGACTTTTCAAAAGTAAAAAAAAAATGGTCAGGAGTGAATGTTAGTATCTTTGGGCAATTCAACAAAAATTATATAAATTTTCTTAAAATGTTTAGAAATTAATATCCAATAATTTCAACTAGACAACCTGATCCCTTGGGTCATCGTTTCTCAATGCCTTCCAACCATGGCAGTGTTTCTAAGGTACTCAAGAGATCTATCTGCTTTGAAAATAGCCCATGTGAGTTGGGCAACACACTCAAAACATCAGTTCACCACGGAAAATGTTTTGCATTTTACATTGAGGAATAAAATGGTTGGTTTATATCAAATTTTATAAAATTTGCCAACTTTTAATTTCAGAGTTGAGTCTAGATTTTGGATGCATTCTCATTAGCCCATTCAAGGGAACTTGGTTCAAACATTTTGCCCTATGATGCAGTTTCAGGTAAGGGTTACAGGACAATCAGAAATTTAATAGTACATATAAATCCTGTTTTTTAAAAATAAAATGCATGGAATTTCTCAGAAAACAATTTCCTTTATTTATTTGGGGGAGTGGTGATTATACTTTGGATAAAGTGCTTGTCTTTATTGGGAAAGATAAATTTCTATTAATAGAATTAAAGAATTTTTCAACTTATTAAGCAAATGTATTTTCAACTACTGAACTTGAAATGTATTGAGTATTTTAATATTAGCATTTTTAATGTACATACCTAACGTTTGGGAATTGTGTTGTATAAAGTTGTAAACACGACTAATGCATTTGGATTAATGATGCAGTATTTTTTGAGATTATTGGAGGACCAGAAAGACCAAGTTGGGGATAGATCATGAAGAATCTATATGCGATTGCATACTTGGGCATACATGACCAAGGTTTTTGTTATTTTCAGTATTATGATGCATAATCACATTGATAAATAGAACATTATTTTGTGCATTCAGACTAGCTGAACTGATGTCTAATATCAACCAGATTATTCTTTTTCAGAAGCACTTTCCATTGTGCATTAAAATACAAGGCAAATATTTCTGAAAATCATTTTTATTTAAATAAAAGTTTAAATACATTACACAGAACATCAGGATTCCAACTGAGATATCTGTTGCTTCACACAGCTGTTAGTTGCTAAAGCAGCATTTTGCAATGACATTCTTTAAAAACTGCACCTTTAAGTTTAAGCGAGATTGAGCTAACACCTTTCCTGAATTCAGTCACCTTAATGTCTATTTCGAAGAGACTTTGATTTATATAGCCCCAATACCTTTGTACAAAGATGCCTTCAGGTATACAAAGGTAGGTGAGACCTAATCTTTCACAGTTTGTAGTTATTTAGCCTCAGTTTCTGTGACAAAGGTGGCTTAAAATGTTAGATGTCCCTAAAACAGCCAGAATATTAAAATTCTAATCAGCAATGTCTATAAAATAAACTTCTGGCATGACACCAACACTACCGGACCTGGTTTAAATGAGGGACAGCAACACAACACAACACGAGCTCTTGTCAGTTTATTACATTGCCGAATTACACTGGTCCAGACTAAAAGGAACCTGATGTGATTACATTATGCAAGCTGGCTTGGTTAAAACTAATGAGGCAGGACACAAAGAATCTTTCATCGCAGGGAAGTCATCGCCCTTGAAACTTTGGTGACCCACAAATCTTAAAACCCATGGACTTTTAGCTGGTCGTCTTTAGCCAGTCCAATCTGAAAAAAAGAAAAGTTTGATTTAGATTAAATACTAAGAATGTGACCTACTCCAGTAAAATTATCAGTTGCATTTATTTTACCGACAGCAAGATAAAACCAGCTACTTCTGAACAAAATCTTTTGGCTTTAATTTAGTAGCAGAAATCAAATATATAAAACATTATGTGCACAAGCCCAACAATAAATTGAGCAATAAAACCCATAAATTTTAAATGGCTGTGTTTACCTCAATGAGGAATTGGCATATATTCTTCCGTTGGTCCCCTTGAAGCTGAATCACTTCTCCATACTCTGGATGCTCAATCACAGTACCATTGCAGGCAAATTTCTACAAAAACAAACAAACAAACAAACAAAAAAAAAGAGCAGATATTAACTATTTATTTCTAAGAATTTACCAAGGGTAAAGCAGTTACTGGGGATTAAGAATTTCACAAATACCTTCTTGAAGGCCTTCACCAGTTTCTTTTTATCATAATCATCGGCAATGCCTTGGACTGTGGTGAGGGTTTTTCTGCCGTTCCTCTGCTGGATCCTTATATGGATGTAGTCCTCAGTCCCAGCAGGAAGTAAGTCATCACCCTTACTTGCATCAGCAAAGGGGTCTGAAAAAAGTTGGAATTATATATATATATTAACAAGAAAAAGGTGCAATTTCAATCAGTTTAAGGAATTATCAATGTTGTGCGAACTCAAATCACCTTCCTAAACTGATCAAGCCCTTACTTCATTATTGGAGAGGGGAAAAGAGTGATTGACAGATTTTAAGGTAGGAAAACAGGCATCTTCAGATACATATTTCAAGTTCAACCACTCTGGACCTCGAAAGGATGTTTTGCAGATCTCCCGAAGGTCCCCGTCATCCTTTTTTTTTTGGAATCGGTTAAAACCCTCAAAATTTCTTTGCTCGCCCTTCTCATTAAAGCAGGAAAAATAGTTCTTCCCCACTTCCTGCCCAGATGTGGAAACGAGGCTGCTTCCAGCGGATCACCAAAGGGAGACATTCTTCACGTTGCCACGTGACTCGGGAGAGCCCTCCCACTTTGCAGGGTGACGCAACCGTCAGGAATTCGCAAGTGCGTCAACAAGGGGGGGGGGTGTGGAGAAGAGGAAGGAGCAAACAAGATGGCGGACCTTCTTAACAATGCCGTCTTCTTACGTTCATCCTTTTATAATAGTTATCGGTATCCATCTTTTTAGGCGCCTGTCCGCGTTTCCTATCCCTCCTACGAGGCGCATTTTAGGTCAGGGCGGCCTACTCCCCCTCACCCCCCCCAGCAACCGAGTTCTTGGAATCGCTGGCTTCCTTCCTATCTTGGGTTCAACCAACGAAAACCCCTCCCCCCCCCGTCAGCCGAATCCCCCCCCCCCGCTGTCGAAGTGACTCCTCCTGGCAGGCTTTACCCCCTCCCCTCCCCACGTCCAAGCTCCGCCTCCCGCCGCAGCCCTCCGCCTTCTGTCAACCCCCCCCCCACCGTCCGGGCTCTGAGGACAATCGCTTCCCTTCCCCCATCCGGGGTTCTCCGATGACCTTCCCCCAGGCATCGGGGCCCAAACGAACTCCACCTCTGGCCTGACGCGGCCTCCCCCACCGTCCATTTCCCCCGCAGCCGCCCCCCCTCCCATCGCCATTCCCGTAGCCCCCCTCACCGAAGGAGTGGAGGTTCTGGATAGCGGACATACGACGCGCTTCGCTTCCCCTTTTCCCCGGGTCGGAAGCAACAACAGCAACGGCGACAGCAAAAGGCGGGGCGCGGCAATAACAACAGCAGCGACGGTGGCTCCTCAGCCTCTCCGAGACGCCTAAAAAAGGAAAAGGCAGCAGGAAGGGCGGGTTTAAAACGTCCGACGGGTTATATAGCAGTGAGGGGTTTATGACGTCAACGCGGCTCGGGAGGCGGGCGCATGGATTGGCTAGAAAGAGGAAAACTTGAGGGGGGGGATGGGAGAGGTTGGGGTTGTGGGCGTGGCTTCGTCAAGCTCAGCTCCTCCCTTCTCCAGCTTCCGCATTTTATGATGCAGGAGGTAGCGCAAACTGGACATAACTGGCTCTCCTTGTGACGCCACGGATGTTGGCGGGGATTGGCTGAAAAGCGCGGAAGGAGGGGAAACGGCCGTACGTTGCAGCGGACGCGGGGAGTCTGCACCATTTTCAAGAGACGGGAGGGGCAGTTTAAATATGTCTACAAAGGAAAGCGGACGACCGGCGCATGCGCATTAGGTCGATTTTTTTTTTTTTAATGCCGACTTTCCAGGGTTATTTTCGATAGGGATTAATTATATTAATAATGTTTTATTTCTAAAATAAAAAAATATTGGGATCTTGACATTCCCCCCCTCTCCAAAGTTAAATACATTTTCTTTGATAAATTATTGCGTGTTTAGTAGGCACACAGGTAACAAGATTTCTTGTCCATTTTGGGGGGAAATAATTGAACAAAATCTATGAACTAAAATCCATTTTTGTTAAACCAACAATGCATTTCGGTGTCTGAGTCAAGCCTGCTTTGAAACCCAGAAGTGAAAATGGTAGCAACAATTCCCAGCCTATAAATGAAAATGTGAAAAATAGCAGTAAATTATAGCTTGAATTGTTATAATTGAACTGTATTTTCAAAACATTAAAAGTGTTCCTGTGCTGCCTCTTGCAGACAAAACTGAAGAGTAGTTTAAATTACCCCATTCTGCTATTGCCTGTGGAAGCCTTTAACTTTGGTGGATTACTGGTATATTGATTGCGTTTATAATTGGCAGCTTCAGAGAAATCTGAACAGAAACAACATCTGCATTGGGTTAATCTCTTATCAATTGTGGGGTAGGAATATAGAACATCCTTCCTTGCTCTCTGACCTCTCACAGTAGTTTTTGATACAGTTGATCATGGTATCTTTTTGGGCTACAGAGTTTGGGGCTGGGTGGCACAGTCTTGTGCTGGTTGCCTCCTTTCTTCAAGGCTGGTCCCCACTGCTGTTATTTCCTGAGAATTCTCAGGTAGTATAATCTCTGCTGGGCCTTTTTGACCAGTGCTGAAATGTGTATTCTGTGTTTCACTGCATTCCCGGTGGTGGACTCACCATGCTATGAACTTCCAAGACATGTGGGCATCCCGGAATGGTTTGACCAATTCAGCATGGGCAGCATCGCACAGGCACCCTCCACTGGCCAGCCCGGCTGAGTCCTAGCTCAGCCCACATTCACCTTCCCAGACTAAGGAGCTGCAACTATCCCGAGTGGAGTGTAAGCTTCATTCCATTCGGCGGGAAGCGGATCTCACTTTAGCCTCCCCTGTCGGGCCCGGTCTATTGGGATGACAGTGCCTGCTGGAATCGGTGCAGCACCACAGCAAGGCTCGCTAGGGCACTCCAGCCCAGGATTGCTGGGAAAGACATTGGGGCTGCTGAGCCCCAACACCCCCCTTCTCCAGCCAGTCGTGAGATTGTCCCTTGCCGACCAGATCCCCCCTGGCTGGGCCATCCCACCCAGAGTTTGGTACAGTACTAGTGGATGCCAGCTCCCACCCCACCACCAGCACCGGCCCCACAACCAGCTCAACCAGCTGCTCCTCCTCCACAGTTCAGAGTGACATTTCATGTATCCCTGGGGAAGCTGGCTTATTTCCTCAATCAGATTTGGTCCCATATTGACCGTTATGGGGACCAATATCAGACTGATCAAGACATAGTATCAGCCATTCCTGATGGCAAGAATGAGGGGGACACGGCCGATTGGATATCCCAGCTACATGATGAAGTAGCCCAGGAGCTGGAAGACTAAGTGTATGCATGGGACATCCTCTACCAACAACAACTGGATCCCACTTTCTTCGTGTTCTCTCTAGCTGCCTCCAGGCCTGCTGCTTGTAAAAGCCGTGCTGACAAGTTTGTGCAACTGCTCAGAGCCTGATTTGAAGACGTGGCCCATAGACAAGAGGCAGAAACCCAGATCAAAGCCCTGAAGCAAGTAACGTGACCCCCAAAATACTTTGTCTGGGATTTCTGGAGATTGGCTGGGAAATTAAGAGACTGGCCTGAACGCCTCCTCATCCACCATTTCAAGGAGGCCCTAGACCAGGACATCAGGCAAGCTTGGGGCATCAGGGGATTTCTCGACCGTGTACAGGACTGGTACAGTATAGCGGTGGCAAATGACTTGGAGATCCACCCACACTGGAAGCTTACCCAGGAGAAACCAGCCAGGATGACCCTGAGTCGCTGAGCCCCTGCAAAGCCGGCTGAAGCACGACAACCGGTGCTGCCAGATGCAGCCAACATGGGCACTGGGCATCCAAGTTCCTGGCTCCCGTTCCAGTCCCTCAACTCCAGAGCCCATCAGCCTTTTGCAGAAGGAGAACCCCAAGGAAGCCTCCAGACAAGGAGAGGATCACCCAACAAGCGGTTGAGGTCCCTCTCCCCCCAGCCGGGAGTGAGGAAAGCCCAGCTTTGGAAACCCCTCTGGGCTCTGCCAGTGAGGGCAGCAGCAAAGAGGACCCAATGGTAAGTGAAGCCATCTGCCCATTCGCTGTGAAGACCCAGGTAGTAGTGCCAGAAACTGGGGTCCAGGGAGATGTAGAGGCCATCATAGACACCGGCTGCACCAGGTGCCTAATCAACCTCCCCATTGTCCAGCAGTTAGGGATAGGCAAAAAGCCACTCCTACACCCCATACGTTGTGAGCAAGTCAATGGGACGCTAATAAGCAGAGCCCCAGCCACTTTAGTTATGGAGCTCGCTAGGCTGGAGATGGGGTGCCACTAGGAGCTTATCCAGTTCATAATAGCCCCCAAGATGACTGAGCCAATTATACTAGGGCTTGCTTGGTTAGACAAGTGGGGCCTGATCATCATCTGGGAAGATGGGTACTGAAAGCTAAGAATAGGTATTGGACCACTGCAGCCAATTCCTCCAGACAATTGCCAACAAAAAAAAAGCCTCTGGTGACCCCAGCCAGCAGGAAAACATTGCTGCCACCTTGGATGGGCTCCCCAGCTCCCCCCAGGTGCCCAAGGAATATCTGGGTTTGGCGGACACCTTTAGCAAACAGGACTGCAACTTCCTCCTCTCCCCCCCCCCCGACAGACTGCCCAATTGAATTCATGCTGGGAGCCAAGTTGCCAAAGCCTAAAGTGTACTCCATGACCCCAAAAGAAATGGCCGAATTGGGAAAATATATTGATGCCAATTTGGCCAGGGGTTTCATTCAGTATACAAAATCCAAAGTGGCAGCCCCCATGTTGTTCAAAGAGAAAAAAGACAGGTGGATGAGGCTTTATATTGATTTTCATGGAATTGACACCTTTTGTGTGGAAAACACCAATCCCCTCCCCCTGATGAAGGACATGGATGCTGGACTGTCAAAAAGCGTTCGAGAAACTGAAGTGGCTTTTTGCCGAGGAGCCAATTCTTCAACACCCCGACCTGGAGAGATAGTTCATTGTAAAAGCCGATGCCAGTGATGTGGCTGTGGAAGCGGTGCTCCTCCAGAAGGAGGGACCGGCTTTTGCCTTGTGCATATGTGTCCAAAGAGCTCACCGATACCGAGAGGCGGTGGGCGATTGGGGAGAAGGAGGCCCATGCAGTCCGCTGGGCTCTCCTCTCCTGGAAACACTTTTGCAAGGGAGTAAGGTATCTTTCAATATCTGGACTGATCACAAAAACCTCAAAGCCCTAAAGATACCCTGGAAGCTCTCCCCCAAGCAAGTCCGATAGGTGCAATATTTCTGGTGATTAAACTTTGAACTAAAGTACATTTGTGGGGGGTGGAAATCTGCTAGCGGATACATTATAAAGAAAACCACCGTTCGATAGCTGGAGGAAGAAGTCTTCCATGCCATTATCCCCCCTTGCATCAAGCAGTGCAAGTCACCATCAGGGCCAAGCCAAACTGATCCCATGTGGAGAAACTGACAGCTGCACTAAAGACGACACTCCTAGCTGACCAGTGGTTTAATGACAGCAGAGACCTTTTAACCCTGAGGGGCTAGCTTGGAAGGGGTCCAAACCATATGTCCCCACCAGTTTGAGGCTGCAAGTTTTACAGCGCAGCCATGATTCACAGTTGGACGGCCAGTTCGGCTTCCTAAAAACTCTTTACCTGGCTTGATGACAATTCTGGTGGCCGAAGATGAAAGCCGACATTGAGGATAATTTAAGGAGTTGTGCCACTTGCACTGTCAAGTAGATGAGACCAGGGAAACCTCCTGTACTCCTCCAACAAAGTGGCTAACACCAGCAGACCATGGGAGGAGATCACCATGGACTTTATAGATGAACTCCCAGAGAGTGGGGGGGGGGAGAATACAGTCATTTGGACAGTAATTGACTTATTCTTTAAGCAAGCTCACTTTACTGCTTGCTCGGGATTACTCTTAGCCAAAAAGCTGGCTAAAATGTTCATCAAGCAGATTTATTGGCTGCATTGAGTGCCCCCCTGGGTGATATCAGATCGGGGCATCCAGTTCATTACCATGTTCTGGAGGGAGTTCCTGAAATCTGTTGGATCGACTCAGGGGCTTAGCTCAGCTTTTCATCCAAGCATGAAAGGAGCCACAGAATGAATGAAGGCAATGGTGGAACAATACATAAGATGTTACATGGATTACCTGAGAACTGGGTGGAACTGCTGCCTTTCACAGAAGTGGCTTACAACAACACTGTGCATAGCAGCACTCCCTTTCAGGTCACCAGTGGCATAGACTTTAGTTTGTTCCTATGCCCAAGCTGCTGAGAGAGCCACCTTCCTCCATGACTCTTGCCAAATGGATGGAGTCATTAAAGAAGGCCTGGGAATATTATGAGGTACACAATGAAAAGCAAATGGTGTTAATATTTGTCAACCTGCAAAAAACATTTGACAATGTTAAATGGGATTTTATGTTGAACCAGCTAAGGCACATGGAATTTGGTGAGAACTTTATAAACCAAACAATTTATTTTAAACAAGAAGCCAAAGTAGTAATTAATGGAGAAACAACTAAAAGCTTCCAAATTCAAAAAGGTACAAGACAGGGTTGCCCACTATCACCATTATTATTTGTATTATCCTTAGAACTTTTGACTAAAATAATTCAGGAAGATGAACAAATTAAAGGTTTAGAAATTAAGAAAGAAATCTTTAAAGTACAGGCTTTTGCAGACGACCTGGTTTTTATCATAGAAGAAACCCTACAGTCTGGTATAAGGCTAATGGAAGTACTGGGAGAATATGGTGAAGTAGCAGGCCTGAGGATAAATAAGGAGAAAAATAAAATGTTAGTTAAAAATATGACTAAATTGCAATAAAATGAATTGGCCGGGAGAATAAACATTTAGACACAAAAATAGTGAGATATCTAGGAATTAAAATGATGCAAGATGTGTTACACTCAAAGGGGACAACTATAATAAATTAATTGATCAAATAAAAGTGGACCTAGATTGGTGGAAAAATCTGCAACTCTCCTTTATGAGAAGAATTGCAACAATAAAGATGAATGTACTTCCCAAAATACTTTTTTATTTCAATGTATACCAATCAGATTAGAAAAGGAATTTTCTGGAAATTTAAACAAAATTATATTAAAATTTATCTGGCAAGGTAAAAAACCGAGAATTAAACTAAAACTTTTACAGGACTCTAAGGAAAGAGAGGGATTTGGCCTTCTAGACTGGGAAAAATACTATCAAGCAGCAACACTTGCATGGGTGAGAGATTGGATACATCTAAAAAATAGGAGGCTGTTAACACTGGAAGGCCATGATGTGCAGATAGGGTGATACACTATCCTCTGGGAAGAGAAACATAAGGATCACCAGTATTTCCAGAAGCATTTTATCAGACTGGCACTACTAGATGTTTGGGTTAAAACTAAGCAAACTAATTATATGGAAATTCCGAATTGGCTATCGACATTGGGGATGTTCACACACCCAAATTTTATTAAATTAGGAAGAGTAATTATATACAAAGATATATTAAATGAAAGAGGAGAATTGAAATCTAGGGAAATCTTGTACGAGGAAGAAATACAACTTGAATTGTGGGCATATCACCAAGTCAAATCAAAATATACAAAGGACAAAAAAGAATGGGGCATAAAAACAGAAGGTGATTAGAAAAATATACCAATATTTACTGGAACAGGCTATGTTTGAAGAAGAAGTGAAAGAAACCATGTTAACTTGGAGTAAAAACATTGGTTACAGCATTGATTTAGACAATTGGCAGGAATTATGGGAAAGAAATATAAAACTTACTTTAGCTACTACATATAAAGAAAATCTATACAAGATGTTCTACAGGTAACATCTCCTACCCACAAGACTAGCCAAAATGAGCAAAAACCATTCACCAATGTGTTGGAAATGCGAGGCAATGCCAGGGACTTTTTATCATATGTGGTGGGAATGCCCGAAAGCCAGAGACTTTTGGCATCAGATAAAACAATGACTGGAAAGGATGCCTGGAGGCCGTGCGGGTCTGGATGGGGAGAAACAGACTCTGACTCAACCCCTCTAAGACTGAATGGCTGTGGCTCCTGGCGTCCCGATATAGCCAGCTGGTGCCATCGCTGGCTATTGGGGGCGAGTCATTGGCCCCCACGGAGAGAGTTTGCAACTTGGGTGTCCCCCTGGATGCGCGGCTGTCTTTAGAAGAGCATATGACGACCGTGGTCAGGGGGGCTTTTTATCAGGTTCGCCTGATCTGCCAGTTGCATCCCTTTCTGGATCGGGACTCCCTGCGCATGGTCACTCATGCCCTCGTCACTTCCCGACTGGACTACTGCAATGCTCTCTACATGGGGCTCCAGCTGGTCCAAAATGTGGCCGCGCGGGGGATTATGGGAGCGGCAGGGCGCTCCCATGTAACATCTCTCCTGTACGAACTGCATTGGCTCTCAGTGGTCTTCTGGGTGCGATTCAAGGTGTTGATTAACATCTTTAAAGCGTTCCATGGCTTAGGACCTGGGTACTTATGGGACCGCCTTCTGCTACCGACAGCCTCCCACAGGGCGGGGCTCCTCGGGGTGCCATCGGTCAGACAATGTTGACTGGCGACCCCCCGGGGGAGAGCCTTCTCAGTGGGGGCTCCTGCCTCTGGAACAAGCTGCCCCCGGAGGTATGGAGGATCCCAGACTTGCGCACCTTCCGCCGTGCCCTGAAGACTTTGTTATTCCAGCAAGCCAAGCTAGCCTAATTTTAACGGTTTTAAATTTTAAAATGGATTTTAATGGGATGTTTTAATTGTGGGCCAAAGTATTTAATCTGGTTTTAAATTGTTTTTAACTTTTATATTTATGTATTTGATCCTGACTGTTCACCGCCCTGAGTCCTTCGGGAGAAGGGCGGTATATAAATATAATTAATAAATAAATAAATAAATAAATAAATAAATAAATAAATAAATAAAGTTGCAGAAAAGAATGCCTGGATTCGTTGGACTGGAAGAATTCTCATTGGGAGGCATCCCCCCCTTCCAACAGTTTCTTATTTATTGTTTTAATGTTGATGGTGCATTTTATTCAATGTCTGTAAACTACCCAGAATCACCTTTGGCGAAATGGGCAGCATAAAAATTTGAAAAGTAAATATCAATATATGCAACCCAATAATGATCCACCCAGAGAGCAAATACCTGAAATATGGACTCATTGAATTATTCTTTTAGCCTAATTACAGGGGCATTTTCTAAGCAGTTGAAAATAACAGATGCATACTTTGTTCTCAAATAAATACCATCTTGGTCAGCAATAAATTAGTAGATGGAATGATGCAATGTAAGGCCAGAAATAACAGAGAAGTATAGTACCACAAAATAGTTTCTGGTATTTTTATGACTAAATGTTACTCACTTCAGATTAAAGTCCAAAGAGTCTGTAATGTATTCTCAATCCAAAATAGTTTGCGGCTTTTACCTCTTTGGATTCCTGAACTGACTTACATGCAATTGTTCTAAAGAGGGGCTCTGCCTCTGATTTAGACACCATCACATCTGCAGGTCTTACACACTGCACTTTATCCCTGGGATGAGATTTTAATTTTTTTAAAAAAGTATCGTTTGGAATTGAACATTTGATCAAAATTATTAAGTAGGCTTTTCATTGTGGTCTTCTGGGAGTGCCTCACTTGGCACAATCCACGTTAACCATGCTGGTGTTTTATGTATAAGGTATTGTAGTTTAGAATGGCTGCTGCTTAAACTTCCCAACTTGTTTCCTATAGACAATTGCTGTCTTCTGTGTGTGAAATAAAGAGAAATGGGGACATCCCTGTTATGAAATAATCACACAGATACTGTGACCTAGGTAATTGCATTAGACATCATAACACAAATATATGGTTGGGGCATTCATTTGATGAAGTCACTGTGCATGCATTATTTTAAAGTCATCATGATTTTCTCAGTGGTGGGTTTCTATTGGTTTGCCCTAGTTTGAGCGAGCTGGTAACAGTGGCAATGGGAGGCTCTACCCACCTGCCCGGACTTCATCACAGATGTCTGGATAGTGCGCACATGCACTCACAGTTCTGAACCGGTAGCAAAGGTAAGTGAAACCCACTATTGAATTTGCTCCAAGTGCCACTGTAATTTTTCTTGTATTGGGTTCGATTCTGGGATTGCTTGGCTCTCTTTAATAAAGCAATGAACAGAGACATCTGGGTATTATTTTTCAAAATACCATCCACCATAGCACAATGAATACAGACTTGCTAAAACCTGATTCTTATTTTGTACAGCATGCAGGAGTGCGTAAACAAGCCATTATTGACTGCCCTTTTATTTAGTTTTCTCCAGAAGAATGTAGCTCAGTCAGTCTTTATAGGTTAAAGTGTAAGAATGAATTAACTCTTTCTATTTAGAATAGATTTAGATAGGTGATGTTAGTTTTTGCTGCTTGAAATATGATTTCCAAGGTCCTGTGGTCATGTAACCACAATTTATTATTTGGCGGGACTTCATCAGGATGTTGTCACCTACCAACAGTCTAACTGGGTGGGTCTTCTACCCTTTGCGGAGGTGGCATACAATAATGCAATCCATAACAGCACCGGATATACCCCCTTCCATGTGGTGTACAGACTGGACTTTGTTCCAATACCCGAGTACCTGAGAGAGGCCCCTACTCCGACCAGTCCAAAGAAATGGATAGACACCTTGCTGGGGGTGTGGGGAGCAGTGAAAGTGGTCCTGTGGAAAGCCGCAGAGACTCTGACGCAAATTTAGTGAGAGGATTTATTCAGCCCACTAACTCTAAGGTCTCAGCCCCCATACTTTTTAAAAAGAAAAAAGACGTGTGTGTGTGTGTGTGTGTGTGAGAGAGAGAGAGAGAGAGAGAGAGGCTTTGCATTGATTTCTGCGGAATAAACATAGTGTGATTGGAAAACATCTACTCGCTTGTGAAGGACATGTGCAACCACCTGGTAAAGGGAAAGGTGTTTACCAAGCTAGATCTCAGAGAAGCCTACTATCGTATGTGGATCAAGGAGGGTGATGAATGGAAAACAGCATTCAATTGCCCATTAGGCAGCTTCCAGTTTAAAGTCATGTCATTTGGGCCACAGGGAGCCCCTGCAGTGTTCATGCAACTCATTAATGAGGTGCTGCATGAGCACCTATACAAAGGAGTTCTAGTGTATTTGCATGATATTCTTATGTTTAGCGAAACTATGGAGGAACACGTCAAACTATTACGACAAATCTTGAGAAAAGTCCTAGCTGCTAAACTGTCAAAATGTGAGTTCCACAAGACCTCTCTAGACTACCTGGGCTACCGAGTGTCAAACGAGGAGATTGAAATGGACTGAGGAAAAGTTAAGGCAGTACTGGATTGGCAGCCCCCTTGCACCCGCAAGCAATTTCAAAGCTTCTTAGGCTTTGCAGATTTTTACTGGCAGTTCATTCCTGCATTCTCTGAGATAGCTCTGCCGCTTATGGAGCTATTAAAGGTGAAGGGAATTGACCCAAAGTCCCAGCCCAGCCAACTCTTAAACTGGACCCTTGACTGTCAACGGGCATTTGAAAAGTCAAAGAGACTATTTTCTAAGGAACCAATCCTATGACACCCAGACCAGTGGTGGGTTGTTCCCGGTTCGGCCCGGTTCGGCCAAGCCAGTAGCGGTGACGCTATTACATCAGCAAACTGGTTCTCTTTCTTTGGGAGCTGGGCCCTCCTGCTCGCCCCCGCGTTATTCCAACCTTATATTTCTTCTTTTTTCGCTCAGCTGAGAGGTGTGGCAGAGCGGATTGCTGCACCTCAGCTGAGCAGATTCGCAACGTGTTTGTGCAAGTGCGTAAGATCGAAGAGGCGATCGAGCGCGAAGCGCGCACACAAAGAGAACCGGTAGTAAAGCCGGTTAGAACCCACTCCTGACCCAGACCCCAAACAGCCATTTGTGGTGCAGGCCGATGCCAGTGATGTCCTAGTCACCACAGTGCTTCTACAAGAAAATCCTCAGGGCCAACTGCAGCCTTGCGCCTACTTGTTCAAAAAATGTACAGACACAGAAAGACAATGGCCCATATGGGAGAAAGAGGCCTATTCAGTCAGATGGGCTCTCCTCTCTTGGTGACACTTTTTAGAAGGCAGCAGCATGCCCTTTGAGGTCTGGACCAACCACAAGAACCTAAAGGCATTAAAGACTCCTAGGAAGTTGTCTCCTAAACAAGTCTGCTGGGTGAAATACTGCAAGCGGTTCAACATTCCAGGAAAAAAAAACAAGCTAGCTGATGCTTTATCAAGAAAACCCCAGTTCAACAGCTGAGGAGAGGAAATAGTGCATGCAGTCATACCTCCTTTGCAACCAGCAGCTCAACTCACTACTAAAAGCCTAGCCCGGAATCAAGACAACCCAAAAGGAGACCCAATGCCTAGTCGCAGCCCTTAAATCCACCCTTTCCGCTGACCAATGGTTTAAGGACAACCAAGGCACCCTTTGTCTCTGAGTTCTGAATTGCAATGAGGAGTAGTTGGAACGCTGACATCCAGATCTATGCTTTGAAGCCATTCATTTTCTATTTAGAATCTATCTTGGGCAGCTAAATGGAGGAGTCTTTTATATTAGCCTTCCCAGTATAAGCAGATTTTCTTGAAAATCACACCCAGCATTTGCAAGTGAAGTGTGGAAATCTGGTTAGTTAGGACAAGATTCAAGAAATCTACCTAATATGCACAATATGGCTGTTTTCACATATTTTAATAAGCAAAGACTTTAACACATGGACTCACAACAATATACCAGTCTTGGTAAGTTTTGGTTTTTTCATTGAATAGTGTGTTCTAAAAAGCCAAGTTATTTGGCTAGATTAAAATTTACTGTAGTGTGAATTCACACAATCAGAAAGTCTTATAAATATGGCTCTTATTTTGTTTTTGCAGATCTGTTAATCCTGGTCTTTTGGATGTTTTCTTTTTCAAGAGTTTTAAATATGTACTTAACAAGTCTCAGCAGACGGCAGCATCTGGCTGGCCTTTTTGGCGGTTTAAAAATTAAATCAAGTCAAATTTAAACATTGGGCAAGAGACCACCAGGGAATATCATGGTGACATTTTAGGCCAGATTGGAATATTAAAAAAAGGCCTTCTATGAAAGCCAGTTTGGGGTAGTAGTTATGACATCTGTCTAGAAATCCAAAGGACCATGAGTTTATTCCTTAGACACAAAACCAGTTGGGTGACTTTGGGCTAGCCACTTTCTCTTGGTTGTAGGAAATAAGCAATGGCAATCCTCTTCCAAAAATGCTACCAAGAAAACTTCTACAGTGATGCCAAAAAAACCTACACTGACATCCAGTGTTGTTAAGGATCAGGCAGCATATATTTAAATATTAATAAAACATTTATATATTCATATGGTCACCAGGAATTCAGTTCATCATTTACCTTTTTAAAAGGCACAAATTTATGGACATGGTTTTGTGGATCATCTTGTATATTATAAATCTGTGCACAGAATGTTTGTCAATCAGGCAGCTATTTAAACAGCAATCGCCTTTATCAGGAAAAAGATAGTACTGTACATGATACTATGAACCAAGCAGGAAGGAACAATGCAAAATTGCAAGAAATCAAGAGAAGTAGAACAAGGAAGGTGTAATGCCATCAAATTATGATGTTAATTTGAATTGTTGTCATCATAAAGGGATTACAAATCCTACTCAATAGAAACATCCATTCTATTATTTGAAATGGATTCTCTCAGCACATAAAAAAAGAATTAAAATTCCAGAATTAAAGCTGGCAATACTATGAAATTGTAAATAATGAGTTCTCAGGAGCTTTTCATCATGGATACCTTTGCTTTCTATGTGGGATGAGAAGGGGAAGAGAATATATATATTTTCTCTAAACGAGCAAAGCCATAATTGTCTATGTAGCTGTCTGATTTAAAGGGTCATAGCAGACCAGGAATGAAATGAGGATCCTGTATAAAAAATTCAAGGCCCAGGTAGCTATATTTTTTTCTGGCTCCAATGTATGGCTCACTTTCTTAGTTATCTGTGCCCAAAATCTTTGAAGGGTCCTTTGTTCCATGGCTCTTTCACTTTAAGCTACTATTGCTATTCCTTATCCTATTTCCACTTCACATGTACAGCCTAATTTTTTTCCCATGAGGTTCATCCATAACCTAGCAGCCTTTCTGACACATGGCACATCACAGTGTAGGACAGCCATTTTCCTTCTCACACATTTATCTTAAAGCATGCCAGAAATAATGTGGAAAGTAGCAGTATGTGTGACACAGTATAATAGCAGCTGGATTTTGAGTCACCAAATCTCACTGCGATTTACTATCTTGCTTTTGGTCTGTAAGCCTCAGATGGTGATTGTTGTATTGACTAATGTCTTACACTTTATTGTAAGCTTAATGTATTTTCAGAGATTTACTTTGGAATCTCTTGTTGAAACTATTAATGTATTACCAGGGATTTTCCATCTCAATTCTTTTGCTTGTAAAATACAATTTGTAGGGGGAAAAGCCATGGAAAATTCCAGGCATTTGAAGTTTTCACATTCTTCTGCTTTTGTTTCTAGAAGTTTCCCCTGTTGCATTGATCCACTATGATTTACTTACTGGAATATCCACATACTTCATGTGAAGTCACCTTGTTTATAATTTTTCCTTCTAATTTTTAAACCAAGCATATCCAAAGAAAATTTTCACAAAATCCTGAATTTAAATCAAAAGGTAACAGCAATATCTCTGTAATATTGGATAAAAAATTATGTTCTGTTTGGTACAATTTGAAACATGTTGTAAGATATTCCTTTTATATACATTCCAACATTTGAGTCATCTAAAGTTTGATGATGAATGTATTACTAAATTCTAAATAATACTGAAATTCATAGACAGTTCTCTATGGACTTTGCTCCATACAAATGATTATTATATGCCTCATACAGTACATTGAACTGATAATAAATCTGATTGTTATATAGGCATAGCTGAATGGGAATTGTGATCCCTGGAATTCATTTAACAAAAAAATGTCTCAAGGTGGAGGTTTAGTATAGAGGTCTTAAGGAGTAAAATGCTGGCATTT